GGAGGAGTGTGGCTGTGCTTGAGTATGTTTTTATTCTTGTTTATTTAAGGTGGAACTGAAGAACTTAACTGTAAACAGGTTCACAATATTAAAACAACAACAAAAAATGGATATAGAAGCAGAATATTTATGGACGATGGAGAAAACATGTGCACACACAACCTCATCCACACATATCGACGCACCCTCATGTATGCCCGCACAAAAACTTGTATATATATTTATGTTTGTTGATATGTTTCATTATATTCTCTGGTGGAAGACTGTTTCTGTGTAGAAACGATTCATTATCCTTCAAAGGGACATGAAGAGTTCTCTTCCAAATCTTTAAATATCTGCTTTAGAAAACAATCAATCTCTGAAGTTCTTCATTAAATATCTCTAAGATAGTGAGGATCTGGTTTGCTAAAGTGTTTCAAGACTTATGTAACCTACTAGCCTTTACAAAGCAGCATCATTCTCTGCTATCAGTCAAGTTATTAGCGTAGGTACCACTCGTTTAGCAGTTTTGGAATTAAACTCTTCATGTGTAGAACATAAAACACCAACCTTGAACGTGAAAATAACATCTCTTGAGGAGGTGTAAGGGAGCCTTCACGAGTCACAAAGAAGGTTGGGGGTGATTCAACTATGCCTCTTATCAAGAGCAGTGTGTGCAAACACATGGGACAAGCACTGAAAATGTTAATACAACGGTCAAACTTCACCAACGTACAGCACTTCGATAAAATCGGCTTCAAGCTGACTTCCAGAAACTGATCTGTAGAGACTTTTCAATAAGGTTTCTGTTACACCGTCACCAAACCATGAAATAATCCTCCGAACTGAAAGGTCAACTTTCCAAATATGACTTTCCTGAAATTCAAAGAAAACTCCAGTCAAGTTATTTTAACTCACAAAAATGTGTTGAAACTAAATATATCCAAAGTGTTAAGTTACACAAACTCAATTTTCTAAGTTAAAAAAAAGATTTAGAAGCTTTTACTAGTAACACCAATTCCAGTCATCGCTACTTAAAATTCAGAGTATTTTTTAAGTTACAAAATTAAGTTAGTTTTACTTGTTTTATTTTATTTAAATAAAAGTTTTACAGTAACTTGGTGACGTACCCTGTAGAACCAAATAGTGAATTCAACTCAAACGATTGTCGAAACTGATTACATCAAACATTTGAAGTAAAACTAACTCAATTTTCTAAGTTGAAAAAACATTCTTGATCAAGTAGCTTTACTAATTTTAAGTGATGCTCACTCAATTTTGTAATTTCT